CGGGTTTACCCTTGACTTTGGACGGTGTCATTGGTGATGGTAACACTGTCCTACTTGACCATGTTTTTCACTTTTGCAGGCTTTATGCCTTTTTAATTCCATTTAAATGTTTTTACCTGAATTTTGAACTTTGTTTAGTTTTAACTTGATTTCTTTTTACATTTTATAACCTCTTCCCTTTGAAATTTTTACCAGTTGTTTGGTATATATAGCCCTATTGCTTTGAGCTATAAAATAGCAATCAACCAACCCTCTGCTGACTGTCGTGATGTTTCGACCTTCCCTACTGAATTGCAGGTGGAATTGTTTGTATCTCAATTGAAAGCTAAACATATAAAGCATAAAAAGTTGGCAATAGCTTAAGTAATGATGCTGAGAATGTGGGTTTATTGATATATACTAATTTACTCCCAGCGGGTAGACCTCAGTACTAGCTAGTATGGAGACTTGAGGATGCTGTTTTTCACTTGCATTTTTTTCAATTAACAAATGAAAACTTGTCTTGAAGTTGTCTCAAAAAGTTATGTCCAAAACCACCCTCTTTGGATGTTTCTGGATTGAACTTTTAATATTCAACAAGTGATAGTGTTAAAAACACCCCTTGGCTCCTGAGGGATGTGTTAATTTTGATTGTTTCTACTATTTCTAATAAAAATTCATTAGTTAATGTAGTTATTTGCACCTGGACTCCGAATAGTTCACCTGCAAGATGATTTTCATTTAAGTGTAAAATACCATTTCGTATCTTGAAGTTTTCACATTTCACTTGCATAATCTCCAGAACCTCTTAAATGAATATCAAAAGTGTTTTTAAGGAAAATTTTTATAATTTATTTTCCAATTTCTCTGCCATTTAACTATCTAACTATTATCAACAGCATACAGTGCAATGAAATGGAAATATATAAATACCTTTTATCTCTTTGTTGAATAATCTTAAAATATCTTCTTTGGGTCATATACGTGATTTCACACATCTTTACTTTTTTACATGTAATTTATTTGTAATATTTTATTTTCCTTTCCTGTTCTTTATATTTGATTTTTTACGTTTACACACATCAACAGGTGCCTGTAGGTGATATAACACTACAGAGATTGGCAGAGATGAGTTAGCACCAGGCAAAATTTTTAACTAGCTTAGAAATTTAAGTGAGACAAAGTTTTGGTTATTTTATAAAACTTATTAAATCTTTCAAATATGAATTTTAAAGCATAAATAATTCATAATTAACTGAAACAAAAAAGTAAAACCTAAATACAATTTTACTGTGTCTCTAACTATAACATATTTAGGTAAGAAACAATCGTAAGTGCTATTGTGGATAAAGCAACCAACAATAGAACTGGCAGTTACTTGTACCTGATAAAGACAACTGTATGCCAATTTCAAAATAACAGCTGTTGGATTATTGCATAAAAAGAGCTTGTGAATCTCAAGATTAAGTATAGGTGGGCATAGCACCTGTCAAGGGTTGGCAAGATTCATTATTTGTTTCTACTAGATTCAACCAAAGAACTTTTAAACTTGCATGTAAATAGGGCAAGTAAATTTATTGTCTAGACATACACCTACAGGACTGGGGTTATCTTGTTCAAGATAGTGCAAAATCTGAGATTTTTCATAGCTCGTGGGTTATGTGACAACAAAACTGAAGTTTAGGTTTTTTTTAAGTTTTTTTAGAAATAATAGAATTAAAACTTGTATAACAGAAAACATCAAATTATAATATACAATATAATGTTAATTTCATTGACATAAACTGATAGTAAAGTTGTTTAATTAAATTTGAATGTAACTCAGTGACTTGCATAGAAAGTTACCCATTGCGAAAGGATTAAGAACTACTACTGAATAATTTTGAGGGTCTTAACTCTTATATTAAGAAAAATTAAATTGACTGGAAATGGTGTATTATTACTTGTTCAGATGATGTAAGATCAATGACAGGAAAACAGTTGAGTCCTGGCTCAAATTGGCAATGTCGTTCCGTATATTACTTATTTTTTAAATAACATTAATTTTGAATATGGATTATATTGTGGATGAAAAATGGCTGGTTTTCTCAAAGCTTAATGATTGGAACCAATTACTTCCATGACTATATGTGATGGTATTTAGTGCCCATGACAAAGTTCAAGGCTTTATCAAAAACTTACCCTATGAACTCACCATTTGGAAAAAGGAAATTTTGATACTTGAATCTTATTTGAATGAAAATATCACTCTTCTGACATATGGGGTCTCATTTGACTACTCTCAAATAACAATTCCAAAATTACTTTCCTGAAAACCATGAGATGTACAACAGGATACGTGATCCATTTTTATAAACGTTACAAAGTGAACATTTGCCACCTAAATTACTAGAAGATTTGATGGAACCATTTTCTGATAGTGGTTTGAAATTATATTTCAAAATTACTATTAACCCTTCCCAGGCGGGTCATGGGTGAAAGGCCATGTCATTGCATTTGTTGACTCGCATTCAAAATTTCATTGAACTACTATTTCGTGAATTTATATCGGTAAGTTTGGTATCAAATTGTAGATTATAAATAAAATTTTAGTTTATACTTTACTCAATTTCTTAATTTAAAAGTAACTGTTAAAAAAACACAGTTAAACATTGATTTTTGTGTGTCATGTGGTATGTTGAATGCAGCACTGGTTCAAATTAGATGTTTGTAATGTCAATATACTAAGTCTATAGTTTCGTGTGAATTAGGAACTAAAATTATCAATATGGACAAGCTAGAATATAAAATAAGAACCTCTTACCTTTTCTATTTGGTAAGATATTGCTCATGTAATGAATCAAACACAGTGGCACCTTGCCCACATCTTTCCAGTTTTGGAAATGCTCCCTTATATACGCTTACTTCTATATATATATGACATGAATAACCAATCAAAAGCTCAGAATGTTCCCCTAGTGGCTTTCTCAGCCATTTTAAGGTGTTTGGATGCCATCTCTTTCTTTCGAACCAAGATTTCAAGGAGGTAGGTTGTCTTTAGTCTGCTTGAAATTTTGTTTTTTTAGACTGAAATACAACTTAGTTACTAAGCTTGATAAATTATACTGGAATTCTATGATATTGATATAGTAATTTATGATTTTTTGGTTGATCAACTGGATATATAAATCCTAAAAAAATTTATTTTGTTTCATATCCCCTATGTGCAAAATTCTAAAAGGCTTAGCAACCTACATCAAGCAGCAACCGAGTACAAAGATCGTAACTAGAAGAGATAATTGTTTGCTTTACTTCTTTATTTACTGTTCTATGTTTTAAGAAAAATAAGTTTAAGAACGTATTTCTAAATAGCAACAGTCTATATACATATATAATGTATGATAATTGAAATGTGAATTTATATTACAAAATTCTAGTCTACTAAAGCACAGCCAAGACATGTCACTATTTAAAGACCAAAGTTTAGTTTTATATTATTGGATAGGGTAACATGAGTGCACATGTGCCACATTATTGTGACTTCTGTATTGTTAGCCAGGCACAGCTGAAAGGACAATATAATAAAAATAATGAATATATATATAAATGTATAATGATAATGAGATTTAAGCTATTTAGTCTAAACATTTATGTTTTGTGTTAGTTTGTTGTCATTCTAGAAGGAAAGTGGCATAATTTATATTCCAAATTTTTTATGGTGGTTACAAGATCAGTCAAATCTGAACCCGTACAGATAATCGTTAGTGAAAATAACCAATAAAATATAAAGTTTTTTTTATTAAGAATCATTTGAAAACTGTCTGGACATTATAAAGATTTTGCATGTGAAATTTGAAAATTTTTCTGATGCATAAAAATATTTTTTATTTTAGAATTAAAATTACTTTGCATGTTGGATAGGCAGCATGTGAAAAGAAAAAAAAGACATGAGAAAAACAATGCATATGAAAGCATTATAATGTTTACTGATAATCTGCTAAATTTTGTTAACATACACTTACTAATTTAAAAGTTATAGCATGAAACCTATAACAAGCACAGAATGGTTACAAGTTCGGTCCCAGGAACCAATTTTTGGTTATTGGTCAGAAGTAAATATCTGGACTTGTCAGATGTTGCATTTAATGTTTTTATGCCATTTGCTTTCTCTTATATGTGTGAAACAGTTTCTAGTATTAGTGGCCATAAAAAAAATAAGTACAGATCTAGGCTGGTAGCAAGGTCTAGTATAAGACTGAAACTGACAAATATTATGCCACATATAAATAAGCTTTGTACGAAAAGATAAGCACAACCTTCCCACTGATGTATGTTAACAAGATAAGGCTATTTTTTTATTTTCAGTTTTTTAATCTGTAAGTAAAAGAAAATGTTTAACAATTTCTTGTATAAACTCTAATCATCCTTTATAGTTTCTTTTGGGGAATTTAATCTTTAAGTGTGTTTATAAAAAAATAAAAATAAAACAAATTACTATTAAATAAGAATCAATTATAGGCATATGATTGGTGGTGATCTATGGTTATATTCTGTTCTGGTGGGTGGTCTGTAAATGTGAAAAGGTTGAGAACTTCTGGTGTAAGCCATGTTCTGGCAACATAAATTTGAGTCTAATGCTCTTGCTAAATAACACATTTTTTTTTTTTTTATCACAAGTCAATCAGAGCACTGAACAAGAAACTTGTACTGTGCTATTTCAGAATTTACAAGTTTCCCAAAATAATATACTGTACTTAACGTATAGAACTGAATTGTCTTTCAAGGATTTTATTTTATATTACACAATTTCAAGTACCCTTTCGTTTAACACTTACATCACAGTTAATTTCTTAGTATGATATTCTTTTTATAAACATTTTCTAAATGCACTTGCTAATTGGCTGTTAAAGATTACTTCTGTATATTAGTTTGAATAAATTATTATACAGTGTATGAAGTAGTGTTAAATATATTTAGGGTGCATCATCTTAAGTTATGAGGCTGAAAAGGCTTTAATTTTTATTGATTTTGACTACTTTTAGGTTTTTGATGAAACTTAGTCATGAGACAGTTACAGTGGAATTGAAAAATGGAACACAAGTTCATGGGACAGTAGCAGGTAAAAAGTTTAGTTGTAGAGTACTCTAAGTCATGCATCACTTGTTTCTGTAGAAGTAATGTGAAACTATTTTTGTTTGTTAAAATAAACATTTTTAATATACTTTTTAATTTTGATGGAAATATTTTTTCAGTTCACATTGTAAGTAATAATTTATTGATATTTGTATCTAGTGTTAGTTAAGTGAAGTATTTATATTTGTTTATTGCAGATTGCATGTATGTTTTTTCATAGTTAGAAGAAAAAATATAAGTGATCATGTAAATGTTTTTAAAAATTCGTATCAGGATATATAGTAATGATTCATTTTTGAATATTATTTAAATATTATTTGGTTCAGTATATTATAAAGTACTATTTTCAGATGTGTATTCTAAAAAAATGGGCAAAAACTAGTTTCATTTGGAAAAGTTGTTTTACATTTTTTATTTCTGCAAATTATTAGCTGTAACAAATACTCTTGAAATAGTGCATACTAATGCCATAGCTCTTGATGTTTACTGTAGCTTTTCATCATATGTAAGAGTTACTGTGAAATCTTTGTATTTGTAATAAATTAGTTTTTAAAAAATTCTGTGAAGAACCAAATAAACATCCAAACTACTGAACAATAACAACACTTAAAAGAAATTTCAAACTGTCCTTTGGAGCATGTATTGAATAATTTGAATAGTCTTCATTAATAACATGTGTATAAAATTAATTTTTTTTCCCTAACTTGTAAGGGTAACATCAGAAGTTTCTTCTGTGTACAGTTGTTAATATGCCATGCAAATAGAGTACTCTATATTCTGTAATATTTATCAAGAGGCTAAATGCTTCTTCTCTATCCAGGGGTTGATGTTGCCATGAACACCCACTTAAAAGCTGTCAAGATGACGGTCAAGAATCGTGATCCAGTACAACTAGACACTCTGAGTATCCGAGGCAACAATATCCGGTACTTTATTCTACCTGACAGTCTTCCTCTTGAAACACTTCTAATAGATGACACACCAAAGGCCAGAGCCAAGAAAAAAGAAGCAGGTAGAATGCTTGTTATATTATTGATTTTATTATAAAATTAGATGATCCCTTGAACACAAAGTAGTTATTTTGTATTTAGAAAGGTCATATAAGATGAAGTTAACCTCATTCAGATCTTGAGGCATGACATATTCATGTTTATTACTTGAAGGGTTTCTTATTTTTTTATAAGTTGCATTTTCTAGTTAAAAATAATGTGTTATGATCATATTTATCCAGCAATGGGACGAGGGCGTGGTCGTGGCCGAGGCAGGGGGAGAGGAAGAGGTCGTGGCCGAGGTGGAGGTGGAGGAGGTGGAAGACGATAATTTTGCTAAAAACATCACATGTATTTCATACCATCTCTGCCATGAGTTGTTGTTGGATTGTCCCAGAGCTTGTATAAATTTTTCAGTTTTAACCTAACCTTTCAAGATGTAGCTCAGATCTAAAGTCTTTAATAAAAATCTGTGTATTTTCATATAGAACATGACAGCTTGTAAGGTATATGCAATTGTATTCACACTTAAGAATTTTTTTTAAAATTACATTTATTTAAAACAATTTACTTTCATCATTTTCAAACGAAGCTCCTTGTGAAGCGAGAAGGTTTTTCTGTCAAAGTTTAGTAGTTAAGAAGATAATAGTTCTACGCATTCATTCTGTTTTTACTAGATCAAAAAAATTTTAAATCAAATTGAAAAAAAATCATCTACCAATTTGAAATAATGTTAAGAAAAAAAGGAGACTATCAATAAGAGCAGTGCATCTTGAAAATCACGTTTCTCTTTTTCCGTTCTTTTGTCTCATGGAATGTATTCACAAACTTTTATTCAGGATGTCTTAGAAATATGAGATATATAAAGGTGTTATTGTCAGGATAACAACATTTTGAACTGCTGTAAAGGTTTTAAATTGATATTCCAATTATTTGTATTTTGCATATGAAGACTCTTTGCTGGAAATAAATATCATCTGTGACATGTTGATGATCCCTGAACTTTGTTGCCTAGGGCTTTCAACTAATTACATTATTGCTTGTTTAGAGATAATAGGCAATACATTCGAGTCCTAAGTTAGAAAACATATTTGAGAAAAACTCGTATTTCACAAATAGGTTTTTCCAGTATATATATAAAATAAATGTACGAACTGCTTATTTATTTCTTAGGTAAAAAATATAATTCGACACTATAATTATATAGCTTAATACTTAAAACACTATACTTCTTACTTATAAGCAACTGTTAAGTCTTGGTACAACATTAAGCATAATTACAAGTGTATAATGAGTTACAGGTGTTGTTGATCAAGCTATCTTTGTGCCATATTTAATCAGTAGTTTTGGTCCAAGTTCAAGCAGCAGTGTTAAAGAAACATTGTTGTAAAATAAACTCTATGTTCTTTAACCAGTACTTTGATGCCTACTTCTCAGGAAGTATGCATCACTGACAGTCATTCTTACTACAAAGCAAGACCCCCCCCCTCCCCATCTTCCAGTGGCATAGTGCAAACTTACAACACTAGAAACTGTGTTTCGATACCCGTGGTGGGCAGAGCACGGATAACCTTTCATGTAGCTTTGTGCTTATTGAAAAAAAACACAAGGGATGTTCTATTCCTTGGACATTACCTGACTTGCCATTGGAAAAGAAGACTGTCACTTTCTATACCATATGGTCAATGTTACAGCAATCTTTCCCATAAGAAGGTATATGTACTACTTTAATTGAATGACCTAATTCAATGATTAACTTCACTACATTTTCAGTCACAAGTTAAGCACAGGAAAGAATAGCTACACCTCACATGAAGGGATTACTTCTTGCCTTCAGCATATCTGTATATAGCATTTTCATTCACTATAACTGACCTTGTGCTAGAAAATGTTTAAATATTATAAAGACAATTGGGTACTATGAAAATATTTTAATCCACGTGATAGAAAATATTCTATCATAATCAAATAAAATATTGGGTACATTTGTAATGCTAGTTATATTGTTAATGATTCTGACTTTCCACAGATATTTTCAATTTGTTTAGTTATATTTCAGTTCGACCAATTGAAATGCTTCTAGCCAAATCTCACAAATCACGGATAAAACTGTTTTCTTGCAAGTGTGGTGTAAGTCCATTTATTAACTTATCTCTTTACACAAACTCCATAACCTGGCAAAGGTTTCAATGTGAAAACTAAAATATTTGCATAATCATTAATGAGAATAACAGCTAATTGTTTCCTCAAATAATGCCTTACAGATCAGTGTCCACAGTTAATTTTATAACTCTATTAAACATTTGGAACGAACTTTCGTATTCTAACTCAAGGCACTCTTGATATGTTCTCAGTGATTAATTCATTTTGTGTTAGACAACATTTATGAATGACTTTTTGTGGAGTTCGTAGGTGCATGTCATACCTTGCATACACATAATCACAAACATATATTTTAATATGTATGCACATAAATTTCCAACTTCTACAAATAATCACACATACAGTTAGCTTTTGACAGATTCCATAAGGCATGAGTACTATTACCATAAAATATATTCAGGTTACTTCTGCAAACCAAAGAGATTGTAGAAAGGGTTCAGTAACATACTGCCATCTGTGAGTGGTGAAATTCAGCAGTGTGTTATAGGCCTCACAAACTGAATACTTCCTTGTTGAACTTAGTTGAAATAGACAATTCAACCAAAATTACACTGGCCAAAATATTATTCACTGTCTTTACGTTATAATCAATAAACTCCCTTGTTAATTTTGGTTAAATACACTAAGCTATAGCCTATAGTAAGTGGACATTCACTGCTTAAAATGGCTGTCAACCATGGATCACTGTGTCACCTTAAAAATAACTTTATTCAATTGTGTTTCTTGGCTTCACAGGAATCTAAACATAGGTTACCACAATGAAAGAAGACCTTTTCCACCGAAAAGTTACCCAATTCATCCTCTGCTTTGAATAGAACACAACCACCTCACTGCTCATACGCATTTACATGTACAGATAAGTCCTTTCCTCGAGATCACTGTGGCTGGTTTGGGAGAATTGCCACTACTGAGGTAAGAGAATGCAATTTTTGGTTGGAAAATCATTTAGACTCTCAGAAAGTAAGATTTGCTAAGCCCTTTCAGTCTTTAGTTTCTGAACCAACAGCTATGATGATCAAGCAAAACCCACACAATATAGCACATATGCTGTATAGTGATCTTCACCTGAAACATTCGAAAGTATTATAAGTGAGTGGTAATTGTACAATGTAGTTCATACATGATATCTCAAGAGCTTGGAAACCAAGGAATACCATATCATTTAAATTACATGACTATCCTTGTTGTGATAAACAAGTGAAAATCAAACAAAAGTAAATAACCACTTGAGGCTCAGTATGCAAGAGTCAAAAAGCCCTTTTAACTGCATTTTAAAACTCCTAGCTACAATCCTCAGTTATGCAAACTTTGGACATTAAATATTACACATATTTATTCCAGCTGTTTTAACTTATGGATTTTGCAATTAATTCCAGCCTACTGGATGAGAGGTTGACATCAGCATCCTAGCAAACCATTAGAGCCCTCTCTCAAATTCTTTCCTTGGGTGCTTCCTCACCTGACTCATTAAACACAGCCAGATAAGTACTTGAGCTGAGGTTCTCCTCAAGAGTGCTCTTGACTTCTTCCAACTCATCAGTCTCAGCCTTTGATTCCTGGTCATATCAGTTTCATCAATAACCTATGGTTGCAACTTAACTACTTGATGGATACATTTATGCTGGATATCACACATCAGAGGACCAAGTTGTCGAAATAGCAGGTGGGAAATAGTCCAACCAAAGGTAAGTTGCTTCCATACTGACAGCACATACTAAATCTACACCCAGTCTGGAAAGTCCTCTCCATAGCCCTATTTCTGTCATATTTCAACTCTTCCTACTTTCTGACTTCCAAACTCATGCAAGTTTGCCAGTACAGCTCATAGCCACTACTTATAGACTTGGTGGCATTGTGGTTTATCTGTGGTATATGGTTAATCATATGTAACGTCCTCATGCAGGGAGTGTCATTTCTCACCCGAACATGAGCATATTTGGCTAACATCCAGTTAATCTTTGCTGTATAGCATGGCATGCCATCATGATATACAGAAAATGTTCATCCCAGTCTGTTCAACTGAAGTTAACAAACTTTTAAAGCATCCATTTGACACTATCTTACCCATTTCATCATACTATGTTTTTGAAGATGATTAAAAGAAGTGTACATCTTCACCACATCCAACACATTGCACAACTCATAGAACAATCAGTTGTTGAAATTATTTCCCTGATTCATGTGAAGTTCTCCATCCCACTTAGTGAAGTAACCAATAGCGATTAACATGTAATGATTACCAAACTCAATCTCTGGGAGAGGCCAACATTATTCAGGGCTATTCTCTGGAGAATAGAAGTAACAATTAGTTGATGAAATTCTTCCTGTAAAGACTTTTTTTCTTCTCTACAATGCTAATACCAGTGCTGAATTTCACAGTTAAGAACCAATTGTAGAATTATTGTAAAACGTTGTCACTACTTTGAGAAACATTTTGTGTGGGGTCTGGAAAATCTGCAGTTTCAAGGGCCAGAGAACCACTGACTGCAGCATAGATTGGTTCTCATGTTTTAGTGGTTGATAAATTTGGTATAATATGTTGCATTGCACCTGAATCTGCTCATTCAAGTGCTACAGACTGTGCATGCCAACAGACAGTTTTTCAATTTGTTTTAATCATGCATTCTCTTGTTGCATAGCAAGGAATGACAAATTTAGTTCTAGGTTTTGCAGTTACTCATTTCAGAGTTCCTTAGAGGTACGTTTTAGTATCCGATTGATGATGTACTCGCTGTGTATATGGATCTGAATTGTTACAATCGAAATGCTTTTAGTGTCAAAATAGTGTCCTAGATCAGGTTATCAAGAAATTGGCATATTCTCACTATATAATGAGATAGTCCTTCTGTATTTACATGCTGTTCTTCCAGGTGGTGCTTTATAATTATGAGAGATAAATTATTCAGAGATAAATGTTTCATTTGGAGAGTGAACATTCTTTTATATACGTAGTTTGGTAGTGCATCTCAAATACTTTAACTGAAAGCAGTTCTTTCTTTATTATACAGTATCTACATACAATAGATGTCAGCATACAACATGTGTACGTGATCACACATTCAGCCCCATCCTGCACTGTGGCAAAAATGCCTTGATTTTACTAACACTGACATCTATATTCAACATTAACTCACAATCCTGCTGTGGATATGCCAGAATGGGCACTTCCACTAAAGCACACTTCAGTGATTAAGAGTTCGTGTTCATCTTCCTTGATCTATCAGAAATGCATGTCAGCGTTAGTGAGAGCAGGTATGGGTGCAACAATCTTGGGCTATACTTGCAGAGCAGTACCAGGACAGCATTCCTCGATGGAAAGATTGCTATCTATGTTTCTTGTGCATTGGCTTAACTGCCACTTGGCAGGTCACCAACATACTTGATCCACTATTGCCGCTGCTGGGTAGACTCTCCAATGCAAGCAGCATAAAGCACTAGGAAAAACACTTAAATTCTCAGGGGGCTCTTTCTTGCAAGCTTTAAACTCATTCCAGTTGATGGCTTGCTTATCCACTGAGTCAAAACAGTAGTGCAGCTCAGTAATGACTGTGTCCCAGTTAGCCAGCTATGCCTCCATTGGACTGCATTAAAGGATGGGCTGTCTACACTCAGGAGCAAGTGGTGCATCATCTGTTCCTGGGACCATCAATTCCAGGCAATAATTTGTTGGAAGCATTCCAGGTTTTCCTATGCTGACCTTTTGTACATTGTAGGAGAGACTTACTTTCCATTAGTCACAGTAGCAAGTGGCCTCGATAAAAAACTTGCTCTGGGAGACTTATTGTTCACTTTAGACTGGACAGTTTGGTGTGATGGTACAACAACATAAGTCATACACTCTGTTAAGCATTGACTCCAAGTCCTGGATTTATAAAGCAACAAAATATTATATGCACCTCATCTACCTACCCTGCAATCTCTCAGATGTCTTTGTGATCTATGGCAACCTCAACAGCTTGCCACCCATCTCAGGGAGGGTCTCTGTTGCTCCTCAAGTCAGGGATTTCTCTTTTCAGTGGCTGGTGCATGCTGGCTGACACTGAAACTCAAGTTAGTGCAACTTATCTGGTAATATCACCCTTTTCCTTGCCATCATGTCTACTGGTTGTTGTTTTTTTTTGGAAAGGTTCTTGCCTCACCCAACAATCGTATTACTGATTGGTAAGAGACTACTGTGTCATCAGCTAATAAAACAGCTCTGTTGGTGGCTAACCATCACCAATGGCCTTTTACTTCTGAGTCTGACCTTAGTTGTCAGCTTCCTCCTGCCAAAAAGAAGCCCCATGGCTTGTTCCCAATTATCCTCAATATCAATTAGGAATTGTTGTCCAACCTATTGGCTGGTCATCTTATGTTTGCAGCTTTCACCAGCCAAGGTCACTACATCTCTAATTCATTTTTCAACAGTGAGCTGTCCCTCTTCACGGGAAGATTGGAATCACATCCCCTGGTTCTTGTCTCAATAATGAGCTGTCTCTCTTTATGGGGAGGTTCCCTGATACTCCACCAATCATCAATGGCACTTCTTCCCTTCCTCCACTGGTGGTCTTAACCAGAAATAGGGTTGGACTTCTTTGGTCGGCAAATACCTTGAGTCCTATAGAAACCATCCCATTCAGTCTCAAACACTATAGCTCGGATGTCACATTGATTGACCTCACTCATTTGGGCTTCTATTCTGCCTGAGCTTCACATCAAGGAAAGTGCTTCATATCTTGCCTCCTTCCTGAGCTCATAGCTGCAGGTTGATGAATGTGAGAGACCATTTTATATTTAGTAAAATTCTGAGATCCAGAAGAATAATTTCCACAGATCTATCTGCCCTTCTTGTAACTCCTGTTAAAGTATCATGGGATTGATGCAGCAAAACTTCCCATAACTTTCTCGGTATAACCGTTTGCCAAGTCGTCAATTTCCCATCCGTAGTTTCCCATCTCCGGAGA